AAGACATAAACGATTAGGGTAATCGCTAAGTAGTAAATTTTAAGTTTACAGACAATAAGAAAGTTCAATAATGACCACAAAGGTTTTTTTCATTACCCTATATTTTACAAACGAAGATAAAGAAAACAGATAAAGCAACGATCAAAGTAAAGGAAACATTAAATATCCATCAATTATATAAGGCTAGCCATAAAGTCATCATGAAAGCGAAATTTTAAATATTTTTAATTTGTCTACCTAAACTAATATTACATTCTCAATATTCAATTAAATTGATGACATACAGCTCCTTCTGGGATACCACATTACTATTTGATATGTTGTTCGAAAATGTTTTTATAACGATAAACAACTCATTTTTCTATTTCTGCTCGCTCGCTATATTTTCAATAGGCCCCTTATTTGTACTTTATTAAGTTATTATATTTAGATGATCTTATAAAATATAAACTGTTTTATCAAAATTAATATTAATTTTAAATGATCTCTAAAAAAGTAAAGTTAAAACGTAACATAATAACGTCTCACATTTCACGGCGTATTAAAATTTTCCTCTTGTGGGGTATGAAGAAATTAAGGTCTCATATCTATTTGTCGGCAGTCATTCGAAGTCGCAGTTTAGCGCGTTCTCTTCGGAAACTTTCGTCGCCACTCTGTCATCTCTAAACTTAAATAACCCAGCGAGATCAATGCATTCACACGGATGCAATGGATCAACACCCTGTATTATTCAATTACAATATAAGGTTTTTGAATTCCTCAAGGCTTCTCCAAATGTATTGAAAAACCTCAGAAGCGCTTACATTACAAAACGTAACTAATATAAGATTATTTAGGAATCAATCTTTAAAGGCGTAATTTAAAATAAAAACTAAAATAGAAGCTAATGTGCGAAATTCATGTTTTCAAGTCTATCCAATAAAAACGATTTGGTATTTACATGATAGGGCAGTGTTAGCACCTTAGATGTCACAGTACGCAAGTAACCCGATTTCTATACCTACGTACACCAAAGATATTATTAATGCAATTTAAAATAATTTCATGCCACGAAAATCATATTTAGGAGGAACTATACATCTGAAAATACACAAATATTTCGAGGACATGTGACAGCAATACGCATTATAACAGCGGAATTAATATTTCCCACTAAAAACCCTCCTAGAATTGAGAGGAAGTGAATTCCCAATAGAATTACGTATTTAAATTATCAACTCTTAGTTTTTCAATAACATAATAGTAAGGTCACGAAGAAAAATACGAATTAGTTAAGTACTAAAAACAAAAACAAAAATACTAAACACATTCGATTTATTCTTTGAATAATTAAAATTTACACATACATATTCTAAAAATATTTTTTTAGTTCCTATATTTGAGTCATCTAATAACAAAGGCGGCAATATCCACTCCAGGTCAAAATTTAACTATGAATGTAGTTTTATTGTCTGTGGACGTAGTTTTGTAAGGAAATCTACATTACGCATCAATTACGGCATTATCCCATAGAAAATGGAGCTCAAAGTTTGGAGCTCGTAACAAACCCGGCATTATCCTGTACCGTTCAAATCAAAGATGGCAACATCCATGTGGACCAATCAGAGCGCAGAATTTCATAAGCGTTGAGGTTGTTAACGCTCGTGAAATAGTGTTAGTGTTTTTATTGTTTTCTAATGAATACTGTATTTTTTTCTAAAAACTTTGGTTAAAATTGTAATTATGGAGTGTCTAGCATCGCCGAGTACATCGGGGAAGACCAGAAAACGTACGGCTCATCCAGAAAACTGGAAACAAAACATAGCTAAACGGCAGCGGTAAGTACACACAGATGGCACAGATTTGATACTTGATTTTATTAGCATGAATTTTTTTTTGAAATCAGTGTTATTCAAAAGTGCATGTAATTTGGTCATAATTTTAAAACTTTTTTTGAGCAAAGTCTGCATTAATACGATATTCGAATAAGCAAAGTTGTATGGGATTTCATTGCCAGATATTTTCTTTTAAAATCTATTATTGTCAAGTTTTGTTCCAATAGTTATTTGTTACAGATCGAATAGATAACATTTTAGTACGAGTGCTGATTTTAAATTCCGAGCTAACGATATAGACAATCTAAATAGAATCACGAGCGTAGTGAGTAGTGCCAAATTTTACCACGTTGTACCAAGTTGTGCCAAGTTATTTATTTTATGTGCTTTTGTTACAGATATTCCCCTAAGGAAAGTCCAAATAGACCCAGATGTCAACACCTCCGGAAGGGTGTTTATAAATGCGAGTCAATAACTATGCGAGACGTGATGAACTTTCATGCGGCATTTTAATATCTCAACAATGAAACACAAGATGCTTTTCTTCTAAAATACTGCGTCCCTGTAATTCCCAAGAGAAAAAGACCTAAATATAAGAAACATCATCCGAAAACCATTCATACAAATTAGAGCATTTACAGTGTCTCACAGAAAAAAAAAAAAAATATGTCAGAAAGCGTTCCTCGGAATTTTAAACATTACTAAACGTCGAGTACAGTATATTGTTAAAAAGTTTGTGGAATCGGGTGGACAAGCAGTAAAAGAAAAAAGAGGCGGTGACCACAAGTCCCATTTATTCACAGAGAAAAAAAATGCTGTAATGCTTTTCACAAATATGTTTCACGTTGACGAAGCACATTACTGTAGGGGACATTCTGAACGAAGATATTTACCTGCAGAACTTTCAATTAACAAAATGTGGAAAATGTACAACAAACAGCCAAATCTTGAAGCAAATTCAAAAGTCAAAAAAGTTCTGTTCAGAAAAATTTTCAATAACAACTATAACCTCGGTTTTGGCAGTCCTAGAATAGATGTATGCTCGACATGTATTCTACTTCTAGAAAAAATTAAAAGAGAATCAGATGAGGCACAAAAGCAACGACTTATGGTAGAACATAGGGTTCACAAACTTAAAGCTAAAGCATTTTTTAATTTAGTAAGAGAAGAAAGACCCAATTTAAAAACATTCTCATTTGATTGTGAAAAAAATCTACCATTACCAAAAACACCTGATCAGATAACTTATTATTCCAGACAGTTTTATCTACTTATATAACTGTACTATAGTAGAAGGTTCATCAAAGGCTCCTCTGACAACAAAAAATGTACTCGCCTACTGTTGGACCGAAGACCAATATGCCAAAGGAGCTAACGCAATCGCTTCACAGACTGATGAACACGAATTTGACAGATATAAGTACGATCAGATTGATAAAAACTCGATAATGATAGCGATGTGTTCGAAGTGGTTAAGTAGTTCAGCACCGGATCACGTGCAAATAATTGAAATAGTTTTTCCTATCGTAGGACACTCATTCATTCCACCGGACCACGTATTTGCTCATGTGGAAAAGGATGTGAGAAAGTTGGAATGTATATTAAGACCGGAGGATTACCTTGAGATTATAGGCACTTATAGCACGATAGTTCGTATGGGTTCTGATTGTGAAGTCCTAAACTTTAAGAGTGGAATGAGTTCAGTTATAAAGGATGTCGGCTCTTGGCACTTCCAATTTAAACATTGTAAAAGATTTTTAATACAGCGGTCAAAAGAAATTGGTAATGTTGTAATTCAAGGGGAAGTGCACTATACTAATAATTTGGGTGTATTGAAGAAAATAACTCGTAAAAATAAAAAGGCCTCTGATTTGAATCCTGAAGTACTCAAAACATTGTGAGAATCAAACCTGCAAAATTACTCATAGAAGAAGAGGAAGATGCATCACAAGAAATTACTTGTGAATTGCAAGTCGAGGAAAGATGTCTATAGTTTAAGAGTACTTGATTTTCTGAAGTTTACCTAAGGATAATAATACTTGTTTTTTTTTTAATTGTATGATTGTTTATTTTGTTGAAGTTTTACGTAAAGTGCCATTCAAGATTGATAAGTAATAAAAAAGAGTTTGATTATTACTACGGCTATTATTTTAAATTTTTACTTCAAATATCAAGATTGTGGTGACCAGATACATTATGGTGATCATCGATAACAAACATGGCTATCTCCATGCCTGTCTAAAACAAACAAGGCAATATTCGAAACTTTCAAACAAAGTCGGCAATCTCCAACGGTTATTTATGAATTCTGCTTTAAAAAGGCAATATATGTTTAATAAAACAGAGTAAAATGATCATTCTCATTGTACATTCCATATTTAAAAAATATCTAAGTTAAGGGATAAATAAATTTCACAAAATACGTTTTTATCACTTTACACAAAATTCAACGAAATGGATATTGCCGCCTTTGATATTAGATGACTCATTTCTTATGTTATATATTTTTTAAGTGGATTAAAATTTAAATATATTAAATTTATTGTTAAACGTCAATGAACTGTTGTATTAAATTTAAAGATACAAAATATATCCCGTTTAAAATTATATTTTATATTTTCAATTATTGAACCTATTACTTGTTAAACAGCACGACACCAAGTTGCTCCATGGAAACATACATTATTATGACCTGAGATTGAATACTTTTTGACACTCATGCGCAACTACTCTCCTTACACTTCCAAAGTAATTAGGTTTAGTCCAAATATTGTAAATTCAAATTTCAGGAAAAGTCAAAAGACCAGTTCGAAAACAGAAATTCTCATTAGAACCGTCGGTAAATTAATATAGTAAACACAAAATTGTAATGCAGGTGCAAGTTTGAAATAGTAGAATCTTATCTAAATAAATAAAAGTGACTTTGAAATGACATATAAACCTACCTCTATTTGAATACTTAAGATTTAGAATCATAAAATATTTATCTAAAATTATGTAACTATTATTTTTTACAGTATAAATGAAGAAAAATAGAAAACAGAAAAATTAGAGTTCCTTGCACGAAACGCAAATACTCCCGTAGACTGCCGATGTTTGTTCTGGAAGTGTTATCGCTTGATAAGTTAGAACACAAGCCTCGAGCAAACAACCTTATCATGGTAACATTCTTACTGGGGACACAAAAGTATTCAACAGACTCCGTTGCAATCAGTCGTGGCACACGAAATACCTGAAAAGAAATTTTCTAGAAAATTCAATAACAAACCATGGATATCGATGAACTGTTGCTGTATTCTATAATAGAATAAATATATTCTAATGAAATACAAGTGAATGTGCAAATTTATATACCAAAGAAAATAGCGAATTTGTGTAAAGTTACTAGTCAAATAAAAACTTATCAAACTGGAGGACCTACAAACTTTAGAGGGCGCAGAAAGCGTGGTCGAAAATGGCAGTGCAAGAGCCCAGGAATGTTTGGAAAAGAACCTCAATCTCACTGAAAACTTTTGTCCACCATACTATGATGGACTGCTATGCTGGGATCCGACACCATGGTATACATTGGCTGTGCAAAAATGTTTTAGTGAATTTCATGGTGTCCAGTATGATGACACACGTAAGTATTATATATTTAAATACTTTAAAGGCAGAAAATTTCGTGGTGGTGTTCCACAATACGGAATTCTCTCTCCATTACTTTTCTCTATTTTTATTAATATTTACTTGCAACCTACGTGCCTCCTACCATTAGTATGCCGACGACTTGCAAATGTATGCTTAATGCTTTTGCCGATGTTACTGATATGGATAATGCTCTAGCAGTAATTAACTCGGATCTTAGTTACATTCTCAATTAATCAAAAAGGTACGGAGTCACTGTTAATCCTAGCAAAGACCCAGCTTAGATTGAATCACACAGCAGTCGATCCACTGATTTTTATTAGCGAAGTAATTCCGTACGGCACTCATGGTAAGAACTTAGGATTGATTAAACTTAGATTGTTCTCTAACTTGACGCAGTTAAGTTGAGGAAGCTAGCCATAATGTTAGTTTAAGTTAAAGATAGCTTTCAGTCTTCGAAAGTATGACCACGTCTCGTTCTATCGCTCTAAACTTAAATGGTTGAATATCCCGCAACATTAGCTTCAGTACTTGTACATCTAATATACTCTCACCGTAAAGGTACGAGTACCTCATTCCCCTGCGGTGTTACAGCTGTACAATGTGCTCTGGAATGCGTTTTTCTTAGTAATAAGAAAATAGAAAAACATTACTTATGCTCATCTGACACATATTTATGCTTAAATTGATTTATATAAAAATATATTATTTATTATATCCTCATAGATATTTAAATAAGTATGACCTACATACATCAGTACATACTTCTTAATTTCCGGTTGTCTGGTAGAATATACCTTATGGCAGTAAACTCATCGTTTGTACCTTTACTCAAAAAAGTATTAAGTATATAAATAAATAAATAGAATTAGGTACTACGTTAATACAACTAAGTTAATGCAATTAATACGACCTACAAAGATCCAAGTTTTATTACTTAATCACAAATAGGTTAAAAAAGTGGAATTATATAAATTTTATATTTTTGTTTTTCAAGTGTCAAAACGTTTGTGATTTCATAAAAATGAATAATTCACCGCTATCAATTTGGTTAGAAACTTTTTATTTGGATTATGTTTTAAGAATCACATTTATTGGTATCTTTATTAAAAACAAGTCCATCGCCTTTTTTTATGGATCATTAAGTCACGGAAAGCGACATCGTAAACAAAAATTATAATTGTGTTTTTGTTTACGATGTTTAAAAAGAATTTGCTCTCTTTAGTTTATACAAAATACTCTATTTCGACGTTTTCTACTTCACACAGCCATAACACTAAAGATTCAACAAACTAAAAAAACAAATGAATTTGTAATTTTTTATAATAAAATTGCTTAGTCTAATATACTTACTGTTGGATAATGAACCATAAATAAAAAAGCATGTGAGCAGTTCCTACGCAGGAGAAGTAAAACCTTCAAAAAAGGAGACCGAGATAATAGAAAACACTATATTACTGTATTCTATCTCATTCTCTCGCCGACTAAATCGTATCCTTTAGATGTATATTTTTGTCTCTTTTTAGTGTCATTTTTTCGGCTCGTCGAGTTTCAAATCACAATGGTTCTAAATAAGATTTCACTTCAAAAACCGTTTTAATGTATTTTCTATTCACAGAGAACGCTTCGCGTTTGTGCTTGGACGGCATGTGGCACAACTACTCCAACTATGTAAATTGTACAGAACGCATTGCAAACGTATCACCAACAGATGTGACTAGCCTTATTTATCTGGCAGGCTATTCACTCAGTCTTGCCGTCCTTTCCCTTGCCGTGTTTGTTTTTCTGTATTTTAAGTAAGTTTTGAACAATGTACCTTTTTAAATATTTTTGAATTATAAGTAATTTTTATTCAAAGCTCTTCAAGGCTAAGAACAAATTCCAAAAGAATTTCGATGAATGAATTTTCTTAAAAGTCTTTATTGTACTGAAAGTAAATCAATTCTGATACGAATAATTTATTACTTTTCAGAGATTTAAGATGTCTCAGGAATACTATTCATACAAATCTGATGTCTACATATATATTGTCCGCATGTAGTTGGATGTTAAACTTAGCTTTACAAGTAAGTATTCAATAGTAAGTAAATATTCATAGGTAGCCGTGTAGTGGTGCTGTAAGAATATCCGCTACAGATATCCCATATCGTTGAGTGGGTTTCGTAAGGGGCGAAAGATAGAAACTGAAACAGGAGATGCATCAGCAGCATCTTCCTGAAACAACTCAAAAAAAATCCACCTGCCAAACGTGGCAATTATAGCAAAATCCCCCTACGTGGAAGGGTTATATTCAGCAGTGGACTTTTATAGTCTGTAATGGTAATGGTAATTATGCACAATTTAAAAAAACACTAATTTTGTTTATGGTATAAAACTGTAAAGAGGCTGCCGACTTCGTATATTATGAAAACAACACCCGAGTAAAAATGTGTAAAATGTTGACTCGGAAAGTTACAAAATATTTACATTCAAGAGCAAAATTTACATTTAATACGAAAAGTTTAGCGCTTACTTTTAGTTATTAAAAACATAACATGTAAAAGTCAACAGACAATAACATACGAGTTGTTTTCTGTTCTCTTTTATATGTTTTTTTAATTAAACTTAAAGTTGTTAGATTTTATTTATTTGTAACAAATTTCAGTATACGGGATTAAGTTTTTACACAACATTTTTAAAAGCGTATGTTTATTTTTTGAAAACATCTAAAAAATTATTTACAAAGATTGAAGTGATATTTTTGGATTTTTTTTACTGCATAGTAAAGCTCGCTATACGTGGTGGTGGAGTGTTGCTTCGGTCTTGACATAAAGAGACTATCTCACTATCTCATCTTATGGGTAAATTAAGAGCCGAATAATCGAAATACCATACCCAGTGATGGAAAGCAGCTTCAGTCATTATTTTTTTATAGAATAATTGTAACAAACAAGCACACAGTCCACCTAACGGTATATGTACGCTGTGGCCCTAGACACCTACATTATTCTTTAATCATGGATCAAAATACAAATGTGTTTTCACCCCTGAGGACTAAGATGGAATACCTCGTTGGAAAGTAAAAGGGTCTCCGGTTCTCTATATTCACCAAACGAAATACGACAGCATTAAGCTGCTTTTTTACCCTGGTATTCTGTGGTTCATTCGTGCTACATAGATAATATAGCTGCAACGTGGCTCTACTGTGTTATGATTGCGGGCTAATGAGGATGAGGTCGCAGCATAATACAATTTGTTTTCCCATTCTATCTCATAGGATAAGTAATACATGTCATGCAAAACTTGTGCATTCCAAAAGCAAAATACGCCTCAATGTCGTTAAAGCGTTAGAAGTTTAATTTTATAAAGTGAAAAAGGTTGTAGTTGTTATGTATTGTGTACCTATGGACTTTTCATATTATATAGAAATATTTTAATTTAAACTTATACACATTCAATTAATCGAAGTAACGGCCAGTATTCTCGATCACATTAACATCATCTTGATCATTTTATACCTAAGAAATCGATACACTTCTATTAAAATGACAACATGGCATTTAACTTCGATCTCGATCTTAAATACTGCGAATGCGAATCTACGAATTCTTTCAATGCGATTTTCAGCACCTTAAAGTTATAGCCATTCTTTGGCACAGGTCTCTCCTCTTATATCTAAGAGGGTTGCCGCAATGCGTGATGACGGACTTCACTGTCTTCGAAACACTTTTTTTTTATTTCTCAAACATATATGTTTCCTCACTAAGTTTTTATACACCGATTGTTTTACCAACTTACGTCGCAAGTTTGCTGTTATCCCTCAGTAAGTTCATACGATTACTGAATGACAGTCATCATTGCCCGCCACCCTTGCTTAAACAACTCACCCACGTAATGATGTGATCACAAAACACAAGCGTCTTTTCAGGCCGCAAGTCGTAAGAGCCAAAAGGCTAACAGCAGTAACATCATCAGAAACCAGGAAAAAACCAATGACGACAGCAAACTCGTTCATTCATTTTGAACTTGTTTATTTTCTCCATATGGTGCAAAGGAATCAATACCATTATGTCACTTACGTTAAAGGCTAAGTCTGGCCTCATTTCCTTATTTTTTTAGTCCGCTCATATTCTAGGTCTCAGAACGGAAACAATCAAACCAAAAACTCAAAAAAGTATATATAAATAACTAAATACGTAAATATCATTCCCAAACTATTGAAAAAAATAATAGCACGTAGTAAGCCAGCGCCTGAAAAAGCTCTCTCTAAAGTGGTACAGTATTCAAAGGGAACAATCCCGTACTATTTTTCCAGGGCTCGATCGGGGGCTAATGCCTCTATTAGTGGATCTGATGCCAATAGGCCAACGCGTTTAACTCAAAGTACTTTACTGCATTTTTTTCCAAAAATAGATAAGCCTTTCTTTCGTGCCTCACAGTAAAAAAACTTTTAAAGTTTTGCACCAAAACATTGCGAGTGTCTTGGCAAAGCAGGAGTTACTAGAAATAACATTACAAGAACTTAAAAAGACGAATAATGATCCAGATCTTATATGTTTATCTGAAACTTTTCTGCGATCTGGTAGCGAGAAGTACCTAAATATTTATAACTATGAGTTAGCAACAGCGTTTTGTCGGGACAAACTGAGGGGAGGAACCTGTATCTTAGCCAAACAAAATAGTATCTACAAAGAAATGGAAAAACTAAAAACGTACGCATCACAAAAGAGCTTTGAGGTCTGCGGCATCGAGATGCCTCTACATAAATTAGTGGTTGTATGTGTTTATAGAACACCTACATCTGATCCGAATGTTTTCTTAAACAAATTAGACCTACTATTGCACGACTTATTAAGAAACTGTAAGCCTGATACAAAAATGGTTTTGACGGGTGATTTTAACATCAATACGCTGAAACAGGGAAAAATAACAAATTACCTCCAAGATATTTGTCTAAGTCATAACTTAAAAATGCATATTAATGTACCAACACGCAAAAACTCGTGCATAGACCACATGCTAAGTAATATTATAGACGCTAACGCTACGGTACTACCTTTATACTTGTCCGACCACGATACAGCTCAGTTATTATGTATCCCTGTGCAAAAAAAAATTGAAAAACCAAAAACATACACAGTACTTAAAAAGGACTATAGTTGCGAAAATATTTTCAGATTCAAGGAATGCATGAAAAGCATAACTTGGTCTGAGGTATACGCAGATATTAGTCTGAACTCTGCCTTCAATAACTTTCATGAACTACTGTGCATGTTTTATAATCTGTGTTTTCCTTTAATTAAAATTAAAGTTAGCACTCATAAGAACACACAAGATTGGATTAGCAAAGGTCTAAGAACAAGCTGTAAAACTAAACGGTCACTAAGATGTAATTATTATAAAAAAAAACAGCAAGCAATAAAATCAAATATATAAATTATTCGAAAGTATTAAAAAATGTATTAATACCGCCAAAAGGATTTCACACATAAAATATATAAATAAAAGTAAAAACAAATGTAAAGCGACATGGAATATAATAAAAAAGGAAATCAATGGCTTAAAATGTGACAATATCATAAATGCAATAAATTTAAACAAAAAACAGTTGACAAATCCTTTTGACATAGCCTCAACTTTTAATGACCATTTTATTGAATTAACTAATACATATAATCTGACGACAAATAAGACACAAAAACAACTACTAAGAGCAAAATTATACCAAACACGATGTTTCTTCTTCAAACTTCAAAAGAAGAAGTAAAAAAAGAAATTATGGGTTTGAACAACACCAATTCAGAAGGCTTCGACGGAATCAGTACAAGAATAATTAAAATGTGTACTGATGAACTAGTGCCTGTATTGACGTATTTAATTAATCTATCATTTTCATCTGGTACGTATCCGGAAGCATTAAAACAATCAGTCGTCAAACCATTGTATAAGAGAGGTAAAAAAAAATGATGTCAACAATTATCGCCCGATTACTCTTATACCTGTTTTATCGAAGGTGTTCGAGAAATGCATGCACCTGAGAATACTTAATTATTGCAACACATACAACATCATTAATAAAGATCAATTCGGTTTCCAAAAAGAAAAGTCGACAACTCTAGCAATATTTACTCTTGTGCAAACAATACTCACAAAATTAAATAAAGGTTACCTAACAACAGGTCTATTTTTTGACTTGTCCAAGGCGTTTGATTTTGTAGACCACGAACTCTTATTAAATAAAATTGAAACGTTTGGAATGAGAGGACCTACACTACAGTGGCTATCATCCTACTTGAGGAATCGGTGTCAGTGCGTCACTGTTAATAAAATCATAAATAGCGAACTGATAACATGTTCTTCTACCCTAAAAAATAACAAGTGTGGTATCCCTCAGGGAAGTGTGCTAGGTCCACTTATGTTTATATTATACATAAATGACATAACCAGAGTGACTGGTCATAAATGTATCTTGTTTGCAGATGACATATCAGTAATTGTGACATCAGATAAAAATAAATATAATTCAATAAATGACCATGAAATTGAAATTAATAATACTATTGACAACATTATTAAATGGCTAGAGGAAAATAATCTAAAATTAAATTTAAATAAATCAAATTTCATACATTTTAATAAACCCAAACATGATAAACACAATTTTAACCTCAATATCGAAAAGATTAAAGAAATTACACATACCAAATTTTTAGGTGTAACGATAGACCAGGATCTAAACTGGAAATTACATATTGAGACCTTATGCAAGCGTATCAACAGCTTTGTTTATGCTCTTTATAAAACAAGGAGCGTAACTAACTTGCAAACAGCTATTACCACTTATCACGCGTATGTAGCCTCCATTCTACGTTATGGGGTGATGATATGGGGCAATAGTACTGAGAGACAAAGGGCATTTGTAGCGCAAAAAAAATGCATCAGAGCCATATGTGGGATTCCACCGGGCGAGTCCTGTAGAGCATCTTTTTGGAGCCTGGGCTTACTTCCGTTGCCAGCACTATACATTTTTGAAATGAGTTGCTTTGTCAAAAGTCATACTGAGCTCTTCCAGAAAGCCAGAGATATAAACTCTAGATTGAAAAGAAATCCGGATAGATTAGTGTTAAGCGTCATTCCGAGATCTGCTAAATTCAGAAAAAGTTGTGTAGCAATGTGTGTTAAGATATATAATAAGATCCCTGACATTAAAAACCTTAAAATGAATTTATTTAAATCGAGACTATATAGGTGGCTTATTGAACTAAAAGTGTACGACATTAAAGAATTTATTGACCTTAGGCTTTAATAATTATTGATTTGTTAATATTAATTTTATGAATGTATTTGACCCTTTTTTTAAATAAATGTAACTTTAAATGTATATAACATAAACTTAAATTTGCATGCTAATTATAAGCAAAACATGTGTACTTATTTTACTGTACCACCTACAAATACCATGTTTTAAGCAAATAAAGAAATTATTATTATTATTATTATTATTATCTATTCTTTTATCAATAGTGCGAATAAGGGAGTACGAATAGAAAATATTATGCATAATAATTACCAGTGTGCACTGAATTTTTGTAAAACCCAATATTCAGCATTTTTAGAAGCTTTGACATTTTCGTTCACAGTCAATGTCAATAAATGAACTTATTAGAGGGTTTAAATGGTATAAAGTTCTGTGCGTTTGGATACTTAAGTATCTACGGAAATTCGAGTAGTATAAAAGCTTGCGTGGTAAAAATTTTAAAATTTACGCATGTTGTCCTTCACCATTGCGTAACAAACAAAAACGTTGCATAGAATAGCATATTATATATAGCCCGTTAAGTTAATTATTTAAATTGTGCAAAATAATATTTGCTAAATGAAGATTTATAAACCATAACGAAACATATTTTGTGGTATCTTGTGATTTGCCATTACTAGAATAAAACAATATTTGAAAATTTGTTAGCAGCTCAACAAAAATCATCTAACAAAAAGTAATTGTTTAACGTGTTTATTTTAGATTACAAAATAACTACAATCGGAGTTTTCTTCCTAAAACTGAGCAGTAACTGTAGTGTTCATATTATAACAAAAATATAATCACTTAGACATGTCCAAATAGAATACCATTTTAATAAACTAAAAACACAACCACACCTAATCATTTTAAATATTATTTTCTGTCAGAGAGGAAATTAAGGTATTTTTAACATTACAATTCTCTCAATAATTTTATTATGGAAATCTTTATTTGTTCGTCAGCTCGTAGAAGTCAACACAAAGGCCTTTCCCGTTGTAATGAAATTTTGCCTTAATCGTCATGGCAAGTTAAAATACTAGACGTCTCACACCTTGGACGCTCATGATTTAATTGATTATGATTATATAATTATAGTTAATAAATATAATATATAAGTCTAGTTTGTTTAAATAAAATTAAAATAATTTGAAATTTAAATATTATGTTCCTACATTTTTAGTCTTTTTTATTTTAGAACTGGTCAGACGAGGCTCAACATGACCAAATTTCGTGTATTATACTGGTGATTTGCATGCATTATTTCTACCTCACGAACTTCTTCTGGATGCTTGTCGAAGGTAAAATTAAACAATATAACAAGTAAGTTAACTCTGTAGTTTATTTTTACAGTAATCATGTCCATCAAAACGATTTTCAATTGTGGCGCAGGACAGGATTATAATGCACGATTGTGTGGGCAACACTCGTTCACTAGAAATATTACTTCTCAAGCACAGGTCTTCATAGTTGAATGTGACGGCAATCCAACACGACCGGAGGGAAATCAGATGCAAGACCAAAGACTTTATGTGTTTTCCAAGGCAAGGGAGTGAAGCACCGCCATCGTGATATTATGATTATGTTCAGCAAAAAATAAAATAAATTATTGGAGGTATACAAATATACATACACACATGTATATGTGTGTGTATGTATATGTATGTGTATAACAAGGGGAGACTTAGCCTTATATCTAAGCTATGTAAGCGTTTATTTACTACTATTTTTTATTTTATACAAATTTAACACCTTTTTAATATTTCAGGCTTGTACCTGTATATGTTAGTGGTTGAAACATTTACTGCCGAAAATATCAAACTGAAAGTATACACCACAATTGGCTGGGGTAAGTCAATGTTATTGCCGAAGTTTCATAGTGTAATTTTATAAAAAATAACCAAAATATTTCATCACTTTATCAATTTGATGATTTCGTTAAATTTGAATATACTGTCCAGTCCTGTGTATGTGTATATTGCAATAAACAGTTGTAATGCACTTCATACTATAGACGTTACTATAAATTTTTCATATAAAATACTTTTTATTTCTGTTTCGTTACATTGTTAAGGCTTTTACTGTTAATGAATATATTTATGCAATAAAAGTAGTTATGTATTAATATTATTACCTATAATAGTCTGAATTTAACTGGCATTTTACCGGCATGAGTATCACACAATATAAATATTAATTTCAAACTAACTACAGCTAACATTTAAATGAACTTTACAGGGGCACCTGCAATATTTATAACAATATGGGTGATTTCGAGATGCTTTGTAACCGTTGTTCCTTCTACTGGCCCCGATGAAGTAAGTCAACAAGAATATTATAACACCTTACTATATCTAGATGTCGATGTACATAAGTCTGCCAACTTTCTCATTTTACTTATGAAAAGCCGAAGTTATAACACTTTCAGATTAATTTATATTCGACTAATGTCAATTTAAATTAAATATTGATTTTATCTATACCTGTCTTTTTTTAATGTCATTTAGTGAAAAAATGATAGCAACTATAAGCATTTTTTAAATTTAATACGATTTATATAAGTCAGGCCGTTTATTTTCCAAAAATTATTTAAATAAAACGGCAATCAAAAACATTGTTTAAAAAGAGAAAATAATTTTGAAAAATCCAAAGCTGCACACTTCGAACGCTCATATGTTTTGAATAATCAATTTACTTTTATTAATTACCGAAACATACATTTCATTTAAACCTACAAAAAATTGTTTCTGTTCAATTAACACGAAATTTTTTGACTGCTGCCGATGATTCGTATCTTGTTACCGAAAAAAATTGTGAAATTATTAATAAAATATTAATGAACGCGATGGTTTACAAAACTGAAATTCAAAAGGCTTCCTAAGGATTAAAATCTAAAGCTACTAAAAAAAATCAAAGTGATAAGTTCAGTTTTTCGAAAGATATCTCGTTCACATCCATACCGACCAACTGATGTCCAAGTGGATTTCCAATTAACTTTTTTTTAATACTATTCCAAATAAATAATCGTATAACTACGTGAGAAGTATTAATAGAAATCTTCTCTTGCTATTGGTGTACCAATATTATATAAGTGCAATATAAAGCTGGTGGAAGTGATTTAAGTTGAGTGAATCGCGATTTTTTGATTTCGTGACAGTAGAGCACTACATCTCCGCTTCGCGTTCGATGTGTGCAATAAGTGTTCATAACTGCCGTTTTATATTGAAAAACTCAAGAATTTTCTTATTCTAAATATATAAAATCCTTTTTCTAAACAAATGAAAAATAGAAATCTGTGGGTGCAAGATATAGCGAGCATAGGGAACAACGAAGAGTTTTCTGTCAAAGATTCTGTAATTGTGTGCCAGTTCGTAGGGCAGTGTGTGGGCAAAGGTAGGTGTGGGGAAACCTTTACTAGAGCAGCTTGTCGAAAATGTTTTGTAATTTTACATAAATACCTCTGCAGTAATTGTTATTTCAGGAGAAATCAAATACAACTAGCTGTAATTAATAATACTACAAAGGTTGATCATACAGTCACAAACAGCTTCTTTTGACTCAATTTGCGTCCGGGAGATGGTTTTCCGACCTACTCTGAATGAAACCTTTTCACTTATATTACAAGATCCATGTTTCATTACAAGTTACAATCCGATTCTAAACGGACATGAATCGACATGGAAATGGGGTATCATCTACGTACGTGCCAATTAAAAAAGTTTAACGCCAATTTGCTGATAGGATTATGCAATAGCCACTTTTTGAATTTTTTTATTTTGCCAATTAGACGTAAATAAATTGATATCTTTAATCACTGAATGCTGCTGCTTATTTTGATGTGGTTTAACATAAATTCCATTCAATTTGCTTTCCTAGAGATTAGATTCGTCATTATCGATTTTAAACTCTAGACGCCCATAGAATTCTTGATTGGGGTCAGAATTCAAGATCAAGAACGGAAGCAATTAAAATACAACAAATGCGCAACGCTTTCATGATTATCGGATATTTATACGAGTACAATACAAATACGCTGTTAATATTGCTGTGCACAGTGAACACAATTAAAACATTGAACTATTACTTCATGGAAATTAAGCGCGCAACATGGCACAAAATTTCAAACAAACTTACACATTTTATTACGACTCGGGACGCACAGTCAAAGTTGACTTTATTTCTCGATGCAGATTGGTTTCAATTGCCATACATCATATCCGTCGCTTACAACGTTTACCACGTCACTTGTTTTATGTAATAAGGTGCAGTGAAATGTTTAATTAATGGTTAGTGACGTAATCCAACCAAACTGTTCACAGCACAATAATTGATAAGCTACGCCTGATCTGGCTAGTTTTTGGAGCTATAAATACTTTTATATTTCATTTTTGTTGACTGGCTGGACATTGGTACCACAACAAAACTTATATTCAAACATAATGCGAATTTTATTTTTAATAACAAAGCGGTAAAAAAAAACGATGGAAAAACAAATACTTTGGGAAGAATCTGTTCTTCAATACGATAGATTTTACAAGCAGCTTTAATATGATACTAATAATTTTAATTTTAATTTTGATTTCCATGTTGATTTCGCGATATGGAATATCAAGCTAGACAACATTGAAATATTTACATAACATAAAATATAGTCTATTTATTATCGCAATTAAAAAAAACTAACAATGAAAGTTTTAATTATCTTGCCGTCGTACTTCCGGCGGTATAGTGCCAAGAATGCTGGATGTATTTCTTAGCTGAATGGTTATACTTTAGCCCTTGAGCGAGAGAAGGACCAACCCCTTATCAACAGCAGTGAGGACAAGTCGCGGTGTAGACGCCAGGGACTAAACACCTTCTCTACAGCATATAGAACAGATATGTAGTATAGGTCAACCACCTCTGATACTGCCCCGGCTCTAAACGAGGTACCCCTGAGATGAAAGGTTGACAAAATGTCTACACATGTAGACTATGTCCAAAAAAATTGACCAAAGTCCATGCCATCAATTCTTCTGCTATTTTCAATTTAATTCAATTCAACCGAATATCCCATTGTTTCTGAGGGTTAACATTCGGTGCAACGTTAGAATACAATAGATAATAAATAGGAAATAATAGAAACGAATTTCATAGAGTATTTTTAAGTATAGATTATCATAAATATAGATTACTAGTGACCCGGCCCGTCTTCGCACGGGTGATTTCTCGATCTCGACAGCATCTCCTACCAGGTCCAATCGTGAATCCTTTAGCTCTTCCAGGGATACACTCAAATACACACAAAAATTTTCAGCAAAATCGGTCCAGCCATTTTCGAGTTTTTGTGAGCCTAACGCACAGCAACTGATTTTTATATACCAAATTTTCAGAGTAGGTTGAGTAATAAGTATTTAGTAATAAGTATTTATATATAAGAGAAGGTTCAGAATAAGTAATATAAGCAAATGGTAAAGAAAAATTAATTTAAAAAATTGAGATTTTTCTGTCCTTTTTATCTTTTAAATTCATAATACGTGGTAATGCATTATTTTAACTGATTGGTAGGCAAAAACGTTGTTGCCCATAAATCACATTCAATTTGGGATAGTTAAAATAAAATTAGAATTCTTATTTATGCGTATTTTCCAAAACTGCAATAACGGCATATCATTATTTATATGTATATATGAACTTAAGTTTAAAATTTGGCTACTCTTTGAAAAATAACCCTGTTTAGAGATTACATAATATTTATTGAAATTAAAATTTAGATTTTTTTATTTATATTAGCTGGAATAGATTTTGACAGACATGCCTTGACTCTACAAAAAAGCACAGGCCTACTTTTATATATTTACTAGAAACCCGCCTCGGTTTCGCCTGAATAGAATCTATTAATGTGGCGTTATATAGATATATTTGACATACCGAAATGATATTCATGGCTGCAATGCCTTAAATGCAATATAATTTTTTTAAATTTTTAAAATTGCATAGCATGCAAAGAACCCCTCCCCCCCTTATACCAAAATAATATTACAGACATATAAAAAATTTAAGTGTCTTCAATTTTTATATATGTATGGATTTATACACAGATATTGCGCATAGAACCCATTTTATTTGATATACAAATGTTTTGCTGTTTACAGTTGGCAATCTCAAGTGAAACAAAGATGTGTCTTTGGATTCATGAACATCAAGTCGATTGGATTCACAAAGCGCCGGCATTAATTGGACTAGCACTAAATCTATTTTTTTTAATCAGAATTATGTGGGTACGTATTTAGTACGAAATAGCATTGATTTCATGGTGATGTATGTAAGAAATTCTGATTTTTTTTTCTTGCAATCAGCGTCGCAACTCTCGACTTAAGGTTAATTTAGTAGCTGCTAACGAACGGCAAAATGAAAAACCGTAACCGGAAATATTAAAACAATTGACATTAGCAAAGGCAATATACGTGGCAGAGCCACGCTGCATCTATTTTATGGTTGTAGCACGAATGGGTCGGCTCGACCGGGGAAGGACCACGCTCTCACAGAATACCAGCGTAAAATAGCAGCTTAACGATGCTGTGTTTCGTATGGTGAGTGTAGAGAACCGGAGACCCTTTTTACTGGAAACGAGGCATTCCATCTTAGTCCTCACGGGTGACAACGCATCTGCATTTTGACTCTTAATCGAAGATAGATGTAGATGTCTATGGGCCACAGCGACCACTTACCATCATGTGGACTGTGTGCTCGTTAGTCACCCTTATCCTATAAAAAAAAAGAAACTGCTAAAAGTCAAGTGCTTCAATTACTAATGTAACAATCTTTGAAGTTCATGTTAACGCGCAACACACAGTGGATGTGTTTTAGCTAAAATATTAAGTGTGAATTTATCAAATACTCGGTGACAAATGAAACATCGTGTTTTTTTTTATAAAAATGAATAGAGAATAGAGAAATCTTTTGACTTTTAAGTTATAAAATTTTGGCAATTTTGAATCCCAGGTGCTGATCACTAAGCTGAGGTCAGCAAACACATTAGAGACAGAACAGTACAGAAAGGCAACCAAGGCGCTGCTTGTTTTAATACCTCTTCTGGGCATCACCAATTTGCTAGTATTATGCGGCCCTAGTGACGATTCGTGGTTTGCTCACGCTTTTGACTACTCTAGAGCTTTAATGTTATCAACACAGGTAATGTATACAAAATTAAAAAAATTGTGTATTCTCTAAATTATAATAATTATGTATAAGTATCATTTGTCTAGGTTTCGCTTATGTAACATAAGATTTTTTTTTAATTGCATTTGGATTTGAATTTTTTTCTACGTGGCAAAGATAAGCTGCAGGTTCATTATGGCAGAACGAACATACAGTAGAATGAATATGTCAGAAAAAACAGTTATCGGGTAATTTTTTCCATATCATAGTGTTGATATATTATATTGACTTTATATAATTAGGTATTAAGTTTCAACATCCTGACATAAATCACTGACGAAAAGGAACTGGTCTTAGATAAGCTATCTACAGAGCGGGGTGTTAATTTTTAAAATACTTTATTTATTTTTGTATTGTAAATACAACAAATCTTTCTGAAAAAGAAAACAAACCCAAAAATAGTGAAAATACTTAAATTTTCACTATTAGAGTTGGGAGTTACATTTGGAGTACCATTCTTTGACTTTGTGCGCTCTACTATTTCAATTTAAATTCTTAGATTACACTTCAATAAATTTTCTTTATTTACAGGGTTTTACCGTGGCTTTATTTTATTGCTTTATGAACACTGAAGTAAGGCATGCGATCAGATACCACGTTGAGAGATGGAAGACAGGCAGAAACATCGGCGGTGGAAGGCGTAGAGGCGCATCATATTCTAAAGACTGGTCCCCGCGTTCAAGAACGGAAAGCATTAGGTAAAATGTTTTGAAATGCAATAGTTACACTCAATTAATATCTAAGTATTTTATTCCCTTCATAATACTTTAGTTATTTCAATCATAATAAATGTTGTTGCAATATGGATACAAATAGAATGATTCATATTGATAAATCCTTAACATGTAAAACTTTCCCTTTTGTATTAATTACCATTTATTTTGCGCAATTTATATCATTTTCTGTTCCATCATTTTACTCAATTATTTGCATATAAATTTCTAACTGCATGTGCTAGTACATGGCTCACATATATCTGATAAACATCAATGTCGGTATTTGCAAAGCTTTAGTGAATAAATACGCGAAAATATAAATAAAAACAACACATACATATTTCACCTTACTGAGCAAACATAAAATGATTTCACTCCTATTCCACCGTTTTATCTGTCATATCAATTGCAACTACATTGATCCGTTTAATCCCCGGAAAAATCCCAAATTCATATTTTATATGTTTTTATTCCCGTTAGGCTCACAGTATGAAGAACTACAACTTGATTGTGGATCATTTCATCATTCAAGGGATATGATTAATGAGATTAATCTATAAATTGAAGAGACTAAAAAATGCAAGGACATGATGTGGATTTAGAACAAAAAATTTATTGTTTTTATTTTGTTATATACCTCATTTATAATAAATTGTTGTATTATCGCTTCCTTTAGTTTTTTTATTCTTCTTGTGTTTTATTCATGTTTGCCATCACAGGATCACTGCATGCGTTTTTCATTTCAGGTAAGCTTACAATATTTTAATCATTTAATGCATGTTTCGACTATAATTGAATACACACTAATGCATTATTTTGCTCGTACTTCTAAAGTGAAATTTCAAATTCTTACATAAACAAAATTTTATTTATTTTTGACGATAGTATATTAAATAGTAACAAAATGTATATAGTAACAAAATGGTAGATATTTAAATTAAAAATGATAAGTAGTATAAATATTTCGTTTTGAAAATATCTTTTTTCTATACTTATTTAAGATTTAACTCGCTCTTATCTGTTATTAGAAAGAAAACAACTGCAAAGTATACTCCTATTTTAATGTCGCATATCAATTTTCCACATTGTTATGAATTCGCGTAATATTAATATGCTTAAATGAATACTTACGCAATTTTTATGCGCATAGAATATACGCGTATATTCATCACAACTACTGAGTTAAAATTTAAAAAAAAACAAACGTTAGTTTACATAGATATTAAAAATTACAGATTTAATAAACATAATCAAATTAGACGGCACACTGAAAGATACCTTGTGAAACATTTATATGAAAATTGATGTCATGAAAAAAGATCATTTTCATTTTATTTAAGTGTCTATTTGCTTTGAGGTGGCCCTTAGTCTACTCCAGCCACACGTTAACTAACTAGTAATCACATTTAGTATGTCTCGTCGCTTACTTAGTACTTTATCTCATCTAATACTCATCTAATATTTGTATTCCATCTCACCACAAACAATGCTAGGGGTTTTCCGGCTTTTCCAGTAAAATAATTAAAACCTCAACGGACCGCAAACTCCATGACAGTTACTTAAATCATATCTACAATTTATGGAAATGTACAACAATAACTTTCTTGTTAAATAAAAGCCTTAAAAACTCAAGAAACAATAGTTTTATCATAAAATTAAAGAGGTCCATTATGGTTACGCAAAATTACAGGTGTATGTAGGTCTAACAGTTTTTGAACTACGAGTATAGCGAGTTCGAAAGTAGTTCCAAATAGTTCGTGTGCTGGTGCGTCGCCCTTTTCTTTTCTTTACTTGGCTGATACACTGCTGAGTGTAAGATTGCCCTCCTTTATTGAATGATTTTTTTTATTTTTACATAATTGTAGATTATTTTGTTTATGTTTGCAACAAAATCCCGGAAAATATACAAAATCTGACATCCACCAAGTTTAAAAACTTTATTAAAAAGATAATGCATTAAAAGTTTAATAAGGTTAAGGAATTTATGAATGATAATAACCCCTGGGAAATGAAGTGATTGCTAATGTGCTATATCTAATTTGTTTTGTGTTGTTAATTAAAAATACTGTTCCCATCTCTGGGCAGGGGCTCCCCAGTGCCAGCTCCTTCCACTTGACCGCATCCAACGCAGAGCGGCTCGAATTGTCGACGACCGAGCCCTTTCCGATCGGCTCGATTTATTGGCACTGCGAAGAGATGTTGCATCCCTTTGCATTTTCTTTCGCATCTACCATGGGGAGTGCTCTGAGGAATTGTTCGGATTAATCCCAGCCGCCAAATTTCACGAACGCACATCGCGGCAGAACTCCCGATACCATCCACACCATCTGGATGATTGGCGGTCCACCACTGTGCGATTTAGAAGATGTTTTCTTCCTCGCACGACCTCCTTGTGGAATCGATTACCATCAGCGATTTTTCCGGACCGATACGACTTAGGGACCTTCAAGAAAAGAGCGTACTCCTTTTTAAAAGTCCAGCAACGCATCTGCGATTCCCCTGGTGTTGCAGTTGTTCATGGGCGGCGGTAGTCACTTACCATCAGGTGAGCCGCATGCTCGTTTGCCCCCTCTCCTATAAAAAAAATTATTTTGTAACTTTAATTATTGTGAACTGTTCTTTTTTTTTTCAAAAAAAAGTCCCGCTGGGCTTCTTGTTAGTTATTCCTAGGACAGAGGTATTTTCCAAACCTGTGGTAAATTAAGCAAAAGAGTGACTTTCAATGAATATTCTTTATAATCTATTTTTTACGTGGTAGAGTCATACTGCAGCCATATTAGTATTATAGTTGTAGCACGAATGGGTCGGCTAGACCGTGGAAAGACCACGCTCTCACAGAATACTAGCGTAAAATAGCAGTTTAACACTGCTGTGTTTCGTATGGTGAGTGTAGAGAACCGGAGACCCGTTTTACTGGAAAAGAGGCATTCCATCTTAGTCATTTTGATTATTTATTGAGGGTAAATGTAGATGTCTATGGGTGACAGCAACCACTTACCATCAGGTGGAATGTGTGCTCTTTCGTCACCCTATGCTATTAAAAAAGTTTCTATTTCTGTGTTTCACTAAATTTTAATCCAATTAGTTTTTGGGGTGCTTCATCTGTCATTCTCTAACCTAAACTAACATAACCAGGCCAATATGTTTTGGTATGTCATCACTTATCACTCTCAATTTCGTTTCATTATTTTACTATATAACTTAGTATTTGTGCTTAGTATTTATTATTAAAATGAAAATTATACTTGATAATGTTATGTGATTCTAATTTACGTCGATTCATTAATAAGCAGTATAAGTGTTATCCTATTTAATTATTAATTCAATTATTATGTACAATCATGTTTTGCCCAGACTGTTATGCGAATTTATAACATGACATTTAATGTGTATATGCTATTAATGGTAGACCCATTTTAAAGACACTTGTACCAGTTTAAAGTGTTGATTCAATATCATATGATATTATGTTAAACATACCAAGTTTAAAATTGTAGCTACCTATATAGTAGAAGGAACAAGCTTAAATTAAATGCTTGATAAATAAGAAATGTATATGTTGATATTTTATTTCCAAAAAAAAAAAACGTTTACTGAAATACATTTACTGAGAGTAAGGGCGTGAAACAGGTTATACAGTCAGCCAAATAAACGCGAGTCGGCCGCGTCGGAGACTACAACCACGACATTGCTGGTACCACGAACATCACTAGCGCCACATCTCGACACCAGACATCTTCATACTGTGAGTATATACTAATGTTATAATAGTGGAAAAAAAATCCAAAACAAAATATATTATATACATATATAATAATTATATTATATATTGACGTAGCATAATTACCCAATTACAGCCAGAACCGATTGAGCCGACTGAGCGGCCAACAACTATTGGATTTTAGGTGTATATGTGAGGAGTGGGATGCCTGTATTTCTATCATACGGTTCTGCTTCCAACAAGCGCTACATCTAATATGGTTTAGTTCAGATAAGTACCTTCGAGTAGCGCGCACGTAGTAGTGCGTAACACATAATATAATATAATAACCTCCCGTGAGGCGGAATAAGAGAAAGCATCACCCCATTTAGTCCCATAGGTGTCGTAAGTAGCGACTTTGGGATATGCCAAAAAGATCTTAAGTCTTCTAATAGATAACAGTATAACCAGGCCAGCGACGGGAAGATTATTTTTATAAGATTTTTATTTTATAGAATAAGGGTGACAAACGAGCACACAGTCCACCTGATAGTAAGTGGTTACTGCGGCCCATAGACATCTACATCTATCCTCGATTACAAATCAAAATGCAGATGTGTTGTCACCCGTGAGGACTAAGATAGAATGCCTCGTTTCGAGTAAAAAGGGCCTCCGGTTCTCTGCACTCACGATACGAAACACAGCAGTGTTAAGCTACTATTTTACGCCGGTAGTCTGAGAGCGTGGTCCTACCCCGGTCGAACCGACCCATTCGTGTTACAACTGTACTACTAATATAATTGCAGCATGGCTCTACCACGTTCAAGATTCGCAAAGGTGCGAAACGTCTGGTTCTGCGATCGTAGATTTACATGTGAACGTAATGATTGAGGCAAATCCTCCCTTAAGTAGAAGAGTCCCATGTTCATCTGTGGGCTTTTACGGGCTGATGATAATGATGATGATGATTATGACAGTAATAATTCAACTAACGGACTAATGAAGAAGAACTAAGTTAGAACTATCCTGACTATACATACAAGAAGTCGATTAATGTGGATGCCTCAGGACTGCTTTATGGGAATTATTGCAAAATTATATACGTCTAGGGAATAATTCCTCTGGGTTTCTTGCTCGTTCTTCTCTTCATAAAGATGTATTTTCCCAAACAGTAAATATTTTAAATAAGTGTTATGTAATAATCTATATTGAATGAAAATTATTCTATTCTATTCTAGAAGGTAATTCTATTCTTCAAGAAGGTTTTTATTCAGCAGATAATTGACTATAATGATGATGGTGATGATGATAATACATAGAGCAAATAAACAAAGCCCACCAGAGTACAAAAAAATTAACGTCTTTTTTCCCGCTGGCTGCCATAACCTCCTCCAAAATAAAAGAAGGCTTATCCATTTTGCACGTGGTGCGTAAAGGAGCTTGTATTTATTTTTATAGGACACAAGCAATCTCTTTTTAACTATTATATGCCAGTGATAGACTCCTTTCCCACCTGATGGTAAGTGGTGATGCAGCCGTATATGGCAAAACGCACTGACTTAGCTTAACAATAGCCTTTTTCACTCTTGCTATAAAGACTGCAACTTATTTCAGTCATCTGCTGTACGCATGGCCAACTATAAAGCAAACCCGTTTGGTTTAAATGCGAAGTAATTCGACAACGAAGGAGTGAAGGATGACCATGCTTCTGGTTGTAGAATAATGGGAGAGATAGGGATAAATTAAATTATGCCATTCCTACGCACACTCTCCGAAATGTATCTTGTAGAAAACCGAAAGGCTGGGTATTTTGCGCACATGTTCGAATGGTGGGAATGGTTCTAACAAAATTCGGGTCACCAATAAGCCTCTTCTCATTGATTCCAAAGGTGATAGGTGGCATTTTGCAGCACCTGCCCATATACCTATAGCAGGAAACTGTGTAATTCCCAGTGCCAGTACCAAGTCAAACATGGGTAAACCTTATCCTAAGACAAAATAAGTTATCTCCGAATGAGCGGATTGGTCTAGCTCCATTTCCCTCTTAATAATGAGATGCAAACTGAAGTGTATTTAATTAATACCAGATGTGGGTATTTTATCTGATCTAATTTACTTGATTCTATGTGTGTGTAAACGAAGTCTCGTTATGTCTAGGATTATATCACAAGTGGCAGTGCAAGCGGAGAACAATCGCCAGTGTGAGGTGGGAGGCGGGGGAGGCTTTCACGCCTGCGCACTCTACACGAAGAGGAGGTCCCTCTTGAAGCGCCTGCTCCTGCCTCTCCCGCCGTCACTCCTATTTTTCCCTCCAACTGTCAAGATTCCACAACTGAACTAAATCGCACGACGTCACGGCTTCAAGTGGCATCTCCAAATAGCTCAACTATCGTTTCATTTAGTGCTTTCACAATGAATGATACAGGCGCAAATGGACTTGATAATTTTACCTCTACAACAGAAGCCCGTGGGCCGAGGCGTTCACCTCTTAATTAAAATGCTTAAAGTCATTTAGCATTCGTATTTTTTTACATTTTTATATGTGACATAGTGTTTCCACTTTATCCCGTGAATGTAGTAAGAGGCGGCTACGGGTTCACCTTTCTAATGTAAAATACGGCTGACGATATTCAGCATTGTCTACGGTTTATATATTATATTCAAACTGCTCTATGGTCTATGTTGCGAGACGTCTCATTCTGTGGTCGCCAATTGACCAGCTAAGCGTATCGTGGTGGCAAATTATTCCTACAATGGGGCAGGCCTATCTCCAGCAGTGGACTAAAACGGTCTGATAGAGAAAAAGTGGGAGAGAAATATGTGTTACACAATATTCACATTCGTGTATATACAATACGTAATTGCTTCAGTTATTTAATTTATCATCGCAACATTCAATATTAAATGTATGATAAAAAGTGAGAGAGAAATATGTATTACACAATATTCACATTCGTGTATATACATATATACGTAATTGCTTCAGTTATTTAATTTATCATCGCAACATTGAATATTAAATGTATGATAAAAATGTGTGAACATAGAATATATCATAGATGTCGTCGTTTAACAAATAAGCTTTATAAAAAATATTATAAATACATTACAATACCTACTTAATATCCAGTGCTTTTTAATAATATTAAAATATTTTTATTAATAATGTCAATCTAAATTCGTTGCAAAACTGTGTATTTTATATATATTATTTTACAGTTTCGTTAACTGTAATTTTTTACGGGTATACTGTAAAGTCCATTTGTATTATAATTTTACTAGTTAATATTGTTATAATTTTAAAGACTCCATTTGTAAATTTTATTTATAGTGCTATGAAAATATTTTAATATAGGTGTTTTAGCTTAGCAAATTCTGATCGGTACCTTTTTGTTACACTTTTTGTCCCTTTTTTTAAACAACTTCAAGCAACCTAAATAATTGCTCGATTAAATTACGGGTTTCATTATACGTTATTGCGTTACTTCATACCAACTGAAAGCTCATTTATATTTTTTGTAGTTATTGGTATTTTATGTATTTTAATTGCTGTAAATATTGCAACCCTCAACGACTGTTGCCAAAGGTACTAGTATGTTAAAATTAAATTTACGATAGTTTTAAATAGTTATAGCTTACAAGTAAATTGGGAAACAATGCGCTATTTGTAACATAAACTTTAGTATATCCTAAGGAGAAAAAATAAATGTATCTAGCACATACTTGTGTGTAATTTAATGAATATAAACATTTTTAATATTACATTTTGGAGATGCTATATACTAACGATTCATTCAATACTTTCAACTATAAAATGAATACGTATGTAAGTAACTTATAAATATATGTTTACAGTATAAGCTAAAATTAAACGAAGGATTGTTATTTACACCTATGTATACATAATTGCTGTTGATGATGCATACCTACTCTTACTTTTCTAAGATATTTTCTAAGTGCCATGTGAAGTCAGCAAAATAATAATTTTTATATGACAATGAACTAATATAAGCCATTTTAATATTATTATATTATATATAAATTTCAAAATTATTACGTGAGTAAATGTTATTCATTAAATTAAAATATATCTGTAATACGTTCTTTTCGTCAAAATAAATGTAACTGAATGTTTATATCTTTAATAAAATATTCACCAAAAACATTTCTTTTATTTGCATCCCTATGTAGCTAGACCTAAAATAGCTAATAAGCTAATAAGGCTTGACGAGCGGAGGTAACCCATAATTCGATTGAACAATGTCTGTAGTATCGACACTTTTGGATTTTAGAAACAAAGAATTATACGTGAAGCCATGCTGCAGCTACGCCCGATTGGGTCGACTTGACCGGAGAAGACTCTCATAGAATACCAGCGTAAAATAGCAGATTAACACTGCTGTGTTCCGTATGGAGCCTTTTTTACTGGAATTCTACACAGTATCTACACTTACCGTCTGGTGAAAAAAATATTGAGGGTCACTTGTCGTGATAAAAACTATCCTATCTCTCAAGTTTCAAGCAAGGAACACACATTAATAAAATTTCATTAAAATTGGTTCAGTGATTTCAAAGTTCAACGTGGACAATCAATGTGGCAGGTAATTTTTATATACAAGGTTATTTTGTTATAAACGGTCAATTTGGCAGAGAGGGTTCAGAATAAGTAATGTAAGCAAATAGTGAAGAATAATTAAATTAAAAAATCTCAAACATTGCTGTCCTTTTTGTTTTTTAAATTCAAAATGCGTAGTAATGCATTATTTTAACTGATTGTCATTCATAAATATCTAACGCCTACTATTTTACTACGCACGCACACATTCGTAAGGGTCGACCTGTCGGTAAAAAAGTGAATTGAAACGCAAATAGAGGAGCGCGTGTACGCTTTGTTGTTGCCCATAAATCACATTGAATTTGTTATAATCTGCTTTACTAAAAGTTACTGAGGATATAAAACACGGAATGGATACCATAAAAGTAACAGTGATGGTGTTAGTAGACTTTTCTAACGCTTTTAACCCAGTTGACCACGATATACTCCTGTATATCCTGTCTCATCTTAAATTAGCACCCTCGGTCTTGGAATGGTTTTCCTCATATCTTCGTGACCGCCAGCAATCAGTTCATGTAAGGGAGGTGACTTCTCTGTGGTTAAGTCTTGATTCTGGTGTGGCACAAGGTGGAATTCTATCTCCCATATTATTTTCAGTTTTCATTAACTACATATCCTCCGTCATTGATTGTTCGTACCTACATCTATATGCAGACGATCTCCAAATATATGTGCAATCGGATATCGATAATCTACATGATGCTATCGTTAAACTAAACCTTAATTTGAAAGACATTTATGGCTGGTCATCGCTGTTTGTCATTTCTGCCAATCCATCTAAATGTCAAGCAATGCTTGTTGGCCGCTCAAGAATGCTGGCAAAAATTGACGTCAGTTGTTTGCCACCCTTATTTTACAATAATAATTTGATTCCGTTCTCTGAATGAATAAAAAACTTGGGTTTATACATGGATAAAAAGTTGAACTGGGAAAAACAAGTCACTGAGGTCAGCCTTAAAATCACTGCTGCCTTAAGATCGCTCTACCGTCTGAAAAACTTTCTCCCATACAAAACTAAGCATGTACTTGTTCAAACACTCATCTTGCCTGTCATTGATTATGCAGATGTTTGTTACTCAGACATGAACCAAAATTTTCTCAATAAGCTTGAGCGCCTTTTTAATAACTGCAGGTTTATTTTCGGCCTTCGAAAATATGACCATATCTCTAAATTTCGTATTCACCTTAAATGGCTAACTATCCGAGATAGGCGCACTTCTAGAATATTTTCTGTTCTCTACTCCATTTCAAATTATTTGTCTTCCCTTCCTACCTTAAAGAAATATTTCAATACCTTTCCTCCAACCACGACAAGGTACTTCGCTCTTCAACTAATCTGAAGATTTCAGTTCCACTCCATTTTATTGACTTTATCGGCAATTCTTTTACTGTTCAGGCTACACTAATCTAGAACTCCTTACTTGAAGACATTAGAAAAGCACCAAACAAGATAACCTTCGAAAAATTGGTCTGGGAACATCTCTCAAAAACAATGCCGTCAGCATAATACCAAAACTACCACTTTTATCATGACATATTATGTATGTATGTATATATGTATTTTTATATATGTACATATGTATTAAGGATAGTTGTTATATATGGATTAATATGTATTTGTTAGTATTCCTATGTATTTGTGTAATTTATAAGCTTTATTTTAATGTGTTATAACCCTGTATAAAGATAGTAGAAAGTGTTAATAAAGATCTATAAAATATCTTAATATCAAAGTGCAGAGCGCCATAGGTTTCGAAATATTTTTTTAAATGAAAAAATGTATGTAACTGTACTAAGTAAATATTCGCTATGCCAAATCTCAAATGACAAACTTTCCATTTCACAAATTTTATCACATAAAAGTTGCGTTTAAATGTTAAAAAACGGTAGGGTGTTTGACAAATAATATATTATCAAAATAGTGAAAAGGAACGTATTTGCCGTAAACAACGTCACCCGCCATTTAATTTTTTCTTATATAAAACTTATTAGTAGTACTAAAATATATCATTCAACAGTTGTACTGGCAACCTCGTTTTACTTTGTCTCTCTTCGCGGGATTTTAGTGAAACCGAAGTGATGCTGTTATTAGAATATTTTGAGCCGCTAGTATCTTCGGAAATTAGATGTGAAGTGCCACCGGCTTCTAAGGGACTTGAAGAGTAAAATAGTCTATAAAATAGTGTCTTTGTTTGTCAGTGTTTTTGTAAAACCAGAGGCAGCCCAAATAAAGAGCCGGCGCCACCAGCCAAAGAGCTGAAGCTGCGGAGCTTAGATTACATACCTGCGCTTTGCTATGCAAAGACGAAGGGACTGCACTTCCCGAAGCGCTGGAGTTATCCGCAACCATACCCCGTCCCAAGTTACTACTTCAATGATTTATTTGATTTCTTTCTGTTTTTATTTCTCCAATTTTGGGTAACATAACTTAAAGTATATTTAAAGGACTTTGCAATAATTCTTTTCCACACAATAATGTCTCCTCTGAGCGGTTCTCTCTCTTCCGTTAATTGTCTCTTAGCTCTTTTTGCAACGCGTGCTTTGATTTAAGAGATTTTTTGCAGACATAACCTTAAATTTTTTTTTCCTAAAACTATCCTACTAAGCACTTTTGCATTGGCTCCCGTCCCCAAATTTGACACATACTGGCAACGTTAAGTCAGTAACAAGATGAAGGTTCTATTTTCATGCAAGCGGAACCTGAGGCAAAGCTACGCGTCGTAAACTAATAAGTTATAATATTTTATAACTTATTAGTTTACGACGGAGTTATTACTAAACTACAAACTTTGTGAGATTTGTAACACTATGTTGACGATGTATGTCATGCTAAAATTACAGGTTACGCTGACATGATACGTAACGTGACACCTGTTTCTGACATTGAATGAGCATTGTGGGTATGTTACAGTCCACTAGACACTGAAATTCTACGTCAGAAACAGAATTTATTGTTCAAAATAGGTTCTAACAAGCTTTGATTTCGCCTGCATAGATGAGAGGAATTAAACAAAGAAAAAATATTAACAACCTGTAATTTACTTTACAGTGTTTAAATATAAATTCCAACAAAATGTATAAAATTTATACAAACTTTATTAAAAAATGTAAGTAAGAATAGCTTCTTGAAATAAAATTACACCCTTCGAAAGGAGTTACAATATAGAAGGTCCAGAATTCTGCAAAGTAGGTTTTTGTACAGGGTAATTATGTGTTTCTTAGAGTAAGAAATTTTAAATATGAGTTCAGACGTGAAAACTTTGCTTTTAAAATAGCACGAATTACCGATAATGTATACAGATCTAGCACCTCTAACGAACTAACTGAGTATTATAGGTTTAATCGCTTTTTTTCGGGAAATTTAGTGGATTTATTCACCTTTAGTCACTTTAATTTTTTGACTTATGTACCCGACAATACCAGTAATGTGTCGTTCCCCCACGTGCCTGTGTGCGCAAACACAGGTCTCACTCTCAGTTACTTCATTCTCGTAGTCCGATGTGATGGCATTCCAACACGACCGGAGATCAGGCGCAGGACTATCGGCTTTACGTGTTACGTGTATATCATTTCTTTGTATTTTCTTAGTGCACATTTATTATACCAAGATGTTTATATTATTACATTATCTTCGATGTTCGATCCAGATCCTCAGTAAGTGAAATATGTTGAGTCTATATTATACAATAATATACTATTTGGTTTGAAACAAAGAGGCTGGTGTCTTATTAAATTTATATCGGTCCCAAAATGATTAAGCGTCAAACCGAGTAAAATATTAATATTCTCTGCTTTAAAATAATAGAAGGTAAATTTCTACTTATTATTTTTAATTTAATAAAAAAATATTATCTGTTTAATAAAAGGAATATTTAATATTACACATAGGATACATGTTAGGTAAATAATATTATTTAAACAGTGGTAGAGCCACGCGGCAGCTTTTGCTGTCGCACGGATGGGCCGGCTCGAACCGGGGTGGTACCACGACCTCACAGAAAACCAGCGTGAAGTAAAGGTTTACCTCTGCGTTTCGCTTGGTGAGTGCAGGTGGCCGGAGGCCCTTTTTACTGGAAATGAGGCATTCCATCTTAATCCTCACGGGTGACAATGAGGATAGATATAGATGTCTATGGGCCGCAGCAACCACTTACCATCAGGTGGACTGTGTGCTCGTTTGTCACCCTTATCGTATAAAAAAAAAACTAATGCATATGCGACATGCGTGCTCAAAAATTTCTACTTTTCTTCTGTTATCTATAAACTTTCATGTCTATTACCTATATCAGAGCAGTATATTACACATTGGAACTTTATGGAAGATAAACTTCTATTTATTATGTAAATACATAAAATTTCAAAACATCCGCTAACTTTTGTATGAATGAAGGATGCATTAATATAGTGCAATACAGTCATAACCACGACTTAAACAATGAGGTAATAAAAATGCTATAAAAAGAGCATTAAATAAATAAACCTTTATAAAAAAATATGGATAATATTCTCTCAATTTTATTCACTTTGGAAACTTTATGACTTA